GGCAATTTACAACAGTTACACCACTTTCCTTCCATCAGCATAACTACACAAGAGAAAATTGTTATTAGCTGATATTAACAGTTCATGTTTCTGCACCACGGTTCACTCCTCATCTTGTTTTTGCAGAGAGCATAGAACTTCTGCATTCAATTATATACAGTGGTGCCTCGCTTAGTGATGTTAATCTGTGCAGCAAAAATCGCTGCTAAGCAATTTCATCGCTAAGCGATATTAAAAAGCCCATAGAAACACATTAAAACCTGATTAATGCATTCCTATGGGCTAAAAACTATCCTTAAAGTGAAGATCCTCCATAGGGGTGGCCATTTTCGGTGCCTCTAAAGTGAGGCAAAACAGCGTGCGGCCATTTTGTTTTTCTGGCAGCCATTTTGAAACCGCCGATCAGCTGGCCGAAAATGGGGGCTTTGCGATGATCGCTTCCCTGCGATCATTGCAAAGTGAAATTTCCCCATGGGGGCCATTGCAAAACGTCCATCGCAAAGCGATTTCATCGCTATACGGAGCGATTGCTATGCGAGGCACCACTGTAGTCTACTTGATTTCTACATTGACTATCTGCTGGTGCTCATGGGTACAATAATCTGTACTGTTACTTGAAATATGGATTTGCAATAAACAGATGATTGACTTCACCAAATTCTATGAGTTGCTCTCCTGCTTAATTTTCACCTCCTACTCCTCCAGTGATTCTTGGTTCTGCTTTATTCCCTACTTTTTGTTACAGTCACCTATAATTATTATATCCTGTTTTGGTGTGTGATAAATTTTCTCCTGGATGCTTACATTTTTTTTTAAAAAAATCTTCTCTAGCACTTGTAGTTGGAGTATAGAAATGCACAGTGAAAAGCTTCTCATGGAATCTGACTGATATTATTCAGTCAAACTTTATATTATAGGCTACAACTCTTTGTACAACATCATATATCCCTTGTCAGTGCTATGTTTCTTCTGATTTGACCATTTCCAGAATAAACACATTGCAATTATCTAGCCCACTTTAGTGCACTCAAATTAAGTATTGTTGTGCTTGTATGTTCCATTTCTTGTTTTACTATTTTGAGATTAAATTGGTTTCTATTTCTAAAATTCTTAATTCCAATTATTTGTGCCGTTTCAGCCTTTCCTTTTAGTACAGTGGACCCTTGACTTACAGACGGCTTGACTTACAGACTTTTTGAGTTACAGACTTCTCTGGCCGCAAAATTTAGGTTTGACTTGCAGCCTGAGAATTGACTTACAGACCAGAAAAAAACCAAAATGGAACAAAAACGGCCTGTTACGGGATTAATCGGTTTTCAATGCACTGTAGGTCAATGAAGACTTGACCTACAGACTTTTTGACTTGAGAACCGCCTTCCAATACGGATTAAGTTCTCAAGTCAAGACCCCCACTGTATATTTTTCATGTGAGAACACTGAAGAAATGACACTTGGCTACAATGCAAAGCAGTGAGTATACAGCTTGTGTAAATGTAAATGTGCTGTCCCCTCAAAATAGCGCAACACACAGCCATGAAAAGATATACAGTACTAAAATACTTATGAAATGTGAGGGGGTGTGCTCACTTCTGTGACATACTGTAGATCTGTGCATATCAGCAGCTGAGTGTCCTTCCAGCTTTTATCCAGTTCATTAACTCAGAAGTGCACCACTTGTACCTCAGCTCTTCCCTAGTTGATTGAGTGCGTTGTGACACTAGAATTTCATCTTCCAGCACTATTTTGTTTCATAGGGTTTTTAAAGTTATAAAGCATTCAGAAACTGCTCATCGTAGCTTCCATCTGCACAGTATTAGCAGGACTTAGTTTGAATATCCTTCTTTTTGCTTACAAAAAATCCTTCACCAGTGTCACTTTTCATTACTGCTGCTGTCCAGTAGCTGTTCTTCTAGAATTCTGCCTCCACCACCATCATCAGAGCTATCAAATCTCTTCTACTGATGCAATTGTGAATTCCTGAAGAGGATGGATGCATTTTAGTCTGGTGTCTCAGTTTTGACCATTCTGCCTTGGGAGACTCCTCTAGGGGTCTAGGCCCATAGAGGCTAGCCTAACGATACTGCCATCAGCTTCCCAAATACATTAAAACACCCACAGTTCATTAAAATGTGCATCCAAGAGTGGGAGTTCAGCAGATATAGTTTTTTTCTCTCGATATAACCTACACAGATTAATAGAATGAAGCTTTTTCACAGTTCAGTTAAAAACTATAATGTGCAATAGGAAGATGTAATGATGGCTACCTACTTTGGACAGTTTTAAAGGGGGCTTAGACAAATTCATGGAGGGTAAAACCATCAGTGGTTACTAGTTGTTGTAACTACTGTGTTACCTCCAGAATCAGAGCACCATGTTTTTGAATACTAGAATGGTGGGACACAATACTGTAGTGGGAAAATATTGTAAGATTCCTGCTTGTGTATCTTCCATAGGAGTCTGCAAGCCATGTGGGAAAGCTGGACTAGTCTTTTAATTAGATCCAGATTGCTGCTCTCATGCTCCAATGTTTTTTGACTAGCAGTGTTACAGATTTACCAAAGGACATTCAGTGTGGGAGAAAAACATGTACTGATAGGGGAGAAATTAGAGTATTGTGCCTTCCTCATTATATAGAGTCCTTACTCAAACCAGCAAAGACAGCATTTGTAGAACAGTTCAGCTTATACTACACGGCTGAAGAAACACTTGCTTTTTATAAGGGCCCCATAAGTTTCCCATTTGTAGGATTTCTCTGGATTATCACACCCACTGTTATTGCTTGCCTTTTTAAGATACATTAGTGACATTAGTTTCTCCATTTTTGTTATACAATATCTAAAAACCATTTTCATTCTTAAATGGACGTGAACTAGTTCTGAAGAATTGTGACAGTTCAATGTTTACACTAAAGGATTGCTCCAGTCATAGACCTTCCTCTCAGTCTTTGCAGGAGAAGGGTTCCTTTAGGCAGATTGTTTCAGAGTAGAGCAGGAGTCAGGGAACTTTACCTTTTACCCCCCCCCAAATTTATATACCCCGACATTACCCCCTTGATTCGAAAGGAAATCATACATTATTTGAATTTAAAATATTATCGAATCTACACAGGCTGTGTACCGAACTAGCAGGATGCACCAAATTTGATAAAGATGTGCACTATTTTTGCTGGAACACATTGCACTCCAGCCATGGTGTGGTATAGGGAATAGTAAAGTGTCTAAGATGCCTAGCAAGTTGCATTAAATTTTTGCTAGCTCGCAGAGGATTTAATCATCAGTGGCTGCCAGAGTGGTGCTAGCAATGACATGCTTGCTAGAGACAGCCAACACAGAATTTGGGAGGGGGGGGCTTTCCCTAACACTTTAATCATTCTATGTGTGGTGTGCAAAAAGGAACAACCCAGGCTAAAGGTCATGTCACTCACCCTGGTGCCACAGGACCAGTGTGCTTTTTTTAATAATCATCAATGGAAAACTCAGCAGTGGCCAGAGGATTGGAAAAGATCAGTCTACATCCCAAAGAAGGGATGTGCCAAATAATGCTCCAATAACTGTACAATTGCACTCATTTCACACACTAGCAAGGTTATGCTCAAAATCCTACAAGGTAGGCTTCAGCAGTATGTGGACCAAGAACTCCCAGAATACAAGCTGGATTCTGAAGGGGCAGAAAACTAGAGACCAAATTGCTAACATGCGCTGGATTATGGAGAAAGCCAGAGAGTTCCAGAAAAACATCTACTGCTTCATTGACTACGGAAAAGCATGACAGAAAGTGAGGACTTAAAGAACCTCTTAATGAGGGTGAAAGAGGAGAGCACAAAAAATGGTCTGAAGCTCAACATCAAAACAACTAAGATCATGGCCACTGGTCCCATCGGCTCCTGGCAAATGGAAGGGGAAGATATGGGGGCAGTGACAGATTTTACTTTCTTGGGCTCCAAGATCACTGGAGAGGGTGATAGCAGCCACAAAATTCAAAGACGCCTGCTTCTTGGAAAGAAAGCAATGATAAACTTAGACAGCACCTTTAAAAGCCACCCTTCCCCCGCCTTAATTCAAGCTTTCTCTTTTGCTTGCCTGTTCTTTTTCATAGTTTTGAGTCAGTCTCTCTCTCTCTCACTCTCTCACACACACGCGCGCACACACATACACATCCGCCCACCCTCCCTCCCTCCATTTTCTCCATTCGTTTAAATAAGGTTGATGAAGCCATCGGTCTCTGGCACCTTCCTTCCCTCCTTCCCTAGTTAACTTGATCCTTTCCCTCCTCCTGTTTGCTTGCAGTCATTTCCGCAGAAAGCAGTCATTCAGAAGTCCCAGGTTGATTGATTGCCCAGGCTAATCGACAGCTGTAACCAATTAAGCAGGCTTATCTCCAATCTCTGAAAGAAGGGAGGATTTACAAGTGCCCTGCTGCAACCAAGGAAGTAACAGGGAGAGGTGGCTTACAATCTGAGGTTTGGCTGCAGAGGGTGGGGGTAGCAGGGAGGGGGGTAGCACTCTGCTCATTACCCCAGGATTTTCACTTTTACCCCATTTGGGGTAATTTATCCCTGTTCCCCGACCACTGGAGTAGAGCCTACAATTAGGAAGACTTTATGCATCATACACATGGACTTTGTACTGAAAGCCATTTTCAACAGATCCTCAGTGCTCTGGAGAGGGGTGTGTGTGCATGCACCTACCCTGAACAATTTAGGATATATATATATACACAAGAATATATACATGTAAAAACTGTAGGATCCAAAATCTAATTGACAGCACTTATTTGCGGGAGGAGGAGGTTTTAACGTCATCCCGCCCAACCTCAGAATTCACAGGAGGACTCCAAGGATTGCAGGTAGATCATGGATGTGGCATGGAAGGACAACGGCAACTCTTCCTCCCACCCACCCCCCACACATCTTCAAAAGTACAGCTCTTTGGATTCAATCTCTGACAACAGCTGAAATAAAATTGTTATACACATTGTAATTTTAAGACAGGACAATCATATCTAAATAAAAAAATTATTAATCAGACTTGAAAGAAGTCACAGTAATTAAATGCACATAACAATTGTTCCAAGTGCATACTGTACACCACCAACCCAAAAGGATTGATTTGCCATTTTATAAATAAAAATTAACATATTTACAGTGAGAAAAATGTGTTATCAAGCAATAGCATCATGTTCAAGAAATGTATCAGATTTGATTACTACAAACTTCTAAGGTAACATTAGATACATTCCAAAAGTTACAAAAATTTAGTAAATGATATGCTTATTAAGGTGGCATTTGAAACCTGCCAAATCTTTTTTCATATTTATTTAAAAGTTTTCCAAGGATTTCTACCAAGTAGAAAAAAATCACAATTTGTTTCATATGTGGCTAATAGTAAAACTATTCTCATTTTGCAGATTATCCTCCAGGGACAAAGAGAAATGCTTATATTTTAAGCTGCTTTTAAGATCATCAGATCTTCAATTAACATAATCAGTATCTATATAGAGATCAACTGCTTCTACAAAAATACAGAATTTAATTATATTTACATAATAGGTATCCTTTTCAATTTCCTAGACAATATTTACAAGATCCAAACACAAATAAGTGTATTAGAACTGCAATATGACAAGTTATGATAACAAAGTTGTTCATTTCAGTGACTGAAAATCCTACACGTAAATCGTTGGTTCCATTGACTAATATTGTATACATGAACATGACATGAGAAAATAAACCTCAAAATAGGAACATTTCAGTAATGTTCCTTTGGAATGGATTCTCTGGATGAATGGTCACTCTGAGAGTTGTTTGGTGTGTTCATAATAATTGTGCCAAATTACTGATCAGCTATCTTGAATGCTTCATTCCAGATAAACTCATCGTCCGTGACCTCTGTCTGAGTACTGGTGTTGCTGGGAATTCCAAGTCTTCAAATAAGGGGTTTTCTATAATGTCTGCAGCTTCTGGTCTTTCCACGGGGCTTGGGGAGAGCATGTCCTTTACCATTGCATACTGAATGGAAAACAGCATATGTGATTTCAGGCAATGAAAATGTTTCTAGCCAGTCCCCATATTACAGGGGAAAAAAAATAACAATACTCTTTCTAGCCATAAAGCATTTTGTACACAGCAGCCAGGTGTTAGCCTTACTCATCATGACCCCTAGATTTATCTGCGAAATCCAGTAAAGAAATACACACTTTACAGACATATTTGTTAAAGGGTTTTGGATTTGCTTTATCTCTTTCTTACCTCAACCCAAAGACTTTATGAAGAATTTGGGGGAGGGGGATATACAACTTGTTTCTTCACACTTTGCTTAAGGGGTTAAGCTGCAAGGGATTCTTAGAGCATCTTACATACCAGACAACAATAACTCATGCATTTGTGCACTGAAAACAGGTTGCTGTGCAGTGGGATGGAAAAGAAAGATTTTCAACAGCTAAAATCTCTTACAGTGGGTGGTCAGAGAACACTTTCACCTCAATAGGATTAACAGTAGCCTTAATATAGATAGCCTTCGATTTAGGAAGGCTTGAGGATTCTGATCTCTTCTCTCTCCATGGCTTGATGACACTGACATGCTGAGTTAGTGCTGGCTTTGGGATCCAGAATGTTGGGAGTCAGTGACAAAGCTAGGGTGCTTGTACTTGTGTTTTACTTATTCCCAGTTTGTGGCATCCTTATATACAACATATGAGGACACCCCCTTGTGGCTTTTGTCCCACTTCCTGTATATAGTATTCTTTTGCATCTGCAATTTCAGCTGGGTCATGGAAGTGATCTCCTGTGGCTATGGGGGTCCTACTGTAGTAATTGTGGGTAATGCCAAATCCATTCAAAAACTTTGAGAATGCCTGGAAATTTACTAATGTAGTTATTTTAGAAGGAGTGTCAGCCATGGAGATGATTTTCTGCAGAAGAAAACATTTTAAGCAGATACCCCAATTGTGTCTTGTCTGGAAAAAGATTGACAAACACTACAAACTGAAGCAAAAAAGACGCTTTTCTTATCTCATCTGTGAGAGGAATTTTCCTGACAGACAGAGCAGTACTGAAATGACACTGCCTGGACCGTAAATCACAAGGAAACTAAAAGTGAAGGCATACCAACAAAAACTGAAGAGATATCAGTTGGAAATGGAAAATGGAATAAAGGAAAATAAAATAAAAAAAGATAATAATCACACACACAAAACCTACACTGCGGTAGCTCTCTTGAGATATCATACTATATGCTGCTGCTGTGGTGGAGTAAGCAGGTCTGAGAGACAGCCTTCTTGCACATGCCATGTAGGAATGGAAAAGCAGAACTACTGTCTAAACTCCATCTCAGTAGCTCTCTTGAGATATACTATATGCTGCTGCCGTGGTGGAGGAAGCAGATCTGAGAGACAGCCTTCTTGCGCATGCCATGTAGGAATGGGAAAGCAGAACTACTGTCTAAACTCCATCTCAAAAGATTCTGAATTGTAGCTACACACAGGTGCAGACCCACACAGGTGATGTGCAGGGATCATGACAAATTATGTTACTGATTTGATCCAACAGTCATCCTGCTCCCTGTGTCCCTGCCCTTGCTTAACTCTGGTAGCATCTTTGTCTGAAAAGGAGACCAAGACACCTTGAAAGTCTGCACAGATTTTTGTGCCTTTTGGCCAGCCGACGGAAGTGTAAGAAAGGTATGGACTTCACAATTTGTCTTAAAATCCACATTATTCCTTTGTGTTTTTTTAAACAGCTAAAAGTTCCAGTTGCTAGTGGTGCAAAAGAATCTCTCTCTCTCTCTCCATCCATCTATCAGAGATCAGGGTATTCGTATACAAATATCCCCACACAGGTGAAAATAACGAAATTAACTGTCCACTCACAATTTCGCAGAATACCCCCATCTATATCTATCTATCCATCCATCGATCATGTGTGTGTGTGTGTGTGTGTGTCTATGCATTCTATAGTACATAACCAAGAATTTTAAACATTACATGAAAAAGGTTTCAAAAGATAACCATAAATTAAATGAAAATGTAATCCAAAAAAAAACAAATGCTCAAGACTAAAGCATAAATCTCAACTGAGAATTGAAATGTACACTTACCTCCTGTGGATATTTCTGAATGAAGAGTGGAGGGAAAGTCAAGTTCCTTACTTCACTCAATGTCTGTAACATTTTAAATAGATGTTTACATTGCCATTTGAAACTGTGACTCTGAAGCATGCTTTAAGCCTGAAGTCTTATATTTTATGGCTTGAGATATAAAAGCTGAATTCACCTTTTCCACAACATTCTATAGCCCTATAATACATAATAAGCTCTGGCTATTTGAATCTTATGCTACATAAATTATACATCCCTTGTACCAACACTGTTAATCATCCCCCATTTTATATTACAAACCACTAGGACCAAGACTGTCAGTTAAAATTTCAGAATTCCTCATGTAACATGGCCCTTTCTGCCACTAGTTTTTCATAAATAAATAAATGAATAAATGAATAAGTAATACATAAATGGTATACAGTGAAGCTATAAATTTTTTTCTGAACCTTTCAATCTGCATAATTATATTTTAAACATTCAAGTCAGGAATTGCATTAAGGTAAGTTAGTCCCCACCTGCAAGATAATTAGTTCTGATTCAAAGAAATCAGAACTAACCAGGACAGTTTCCATAGACACGGCAGCTCTGTAGCAATTATATATGCCATGGTGCTCAGTCCATCTATTCTTGCACTTACATGGCATGTGGCTAAAAGTATGACTTAGCTGCTAAGCTACAAATCATGCCTGCAGTGGCAGAGAAAACACAGTACCTGGAAGAATTACCCTGACTTACCCTTATTCTTTCCATTTGCGTGCTGAAAGGGTAAAGGAGCTCAAACAGGATTAGGCCCAAAGAGAAGATATCAACTTTATGCGAATAAGCATTTCCGTAGACCTAAAAAGTTCAAGATAAAAGGTAATGCTTAAACAACAGAATCTTTCGTATTTGAACAAGTCACATTTATTCTTTCCTACTCTTATTTCTTCCAAAATGAACTTCACATAGGCCTAGAGTATGCCTTGAGTGGACAAAACAGAAAAATAAAGTAAAAACAATAAAAAATAATCTTTTAAATTTGATGCCCAAAGCAGTCCATGAGACTCTTTAACTATTTACTATGTTTGAAATTTATATATTCAACGAAATTCAGCATATATTGATGTCTTAAGAAATTGGATATAAAGAGGAAGTCAATAAACATGGTCTGAAAATAGTGCATCTCAGATTCAGAAGTATACATTGTAACACCAGTCAAGAACACATATGACAGATTGGAGGGATGTAGGAAACCCCTTTCATGCATAACCAGCCCAACAAGCAGGTGGATGGAAGAGAGTGAGAGGTATTTCCTGTTAAAGCACTGGTCACTGGTCACAAAATGAATGGCTTCCTCTAGTACCAAGCTCATATGGGAGTGCTGATGGGACTGCACCCAAAACAAGGACACAGAGGAAGACATGTAAATATCTTCACATGGACATCACACTCCACTTCTGCAGTACCCTTAACCTCTGCACCCCACTACTACCCTGAGAAAATGATTTTTTTAACCAAAATCTGACTTACTTATGTATTAGGTGATCATGTTCATTTTACCTCTACTATTTGCCCGATATAGTAGTGACTGGAAAATCAGGCAGTTTTTTGTACAGCATCAAACAGTCACACCTCAATGTCTCAAGGTGAGCCAGCAGGAAACGAACACCACTGCATGACTGCCTTATGGGCATAGTTTTTACCAACTGGATTTTGGCCATTTAAAATGTCAGAACTCCATTCCTGGAAACCTCCAACAAGTGCAATCTGGCAATAAATGACATTCTGCACCCTCTGTCTTTTTAAATTAAGAACTGTGTATGTACTGAAAACAGATGTGGATTTCTGGCCATTTTGAGTTTTAGCAGAAGGGGGTGGTGTATCCCTTGGTGGCTCAAGGAGTCAAAATTAAGCTCCAGACCCTCTGAAGTTTCCCCACCTCTACTGCAAAGTAGGTAGAAAGTATTAATTACTTGCATGTTGCAGATGGAAGCTGAGACTGAAAGACAGCAATTTGCCTTGTCAGCTCACAGGTGAAGCAAGATTCAAAACTGATTCAGAAATGACACTTGTAGCCACTATGTAACACCAGCATCTAGGCCTTAAAACTCAAAAATGCCATTTATGAAAATGATAATGAAGACAGAAAACGCACCTGTTCTGGGCTCATATAGAGCTTTGTCCCAACTTGCCCTGTGTGCCTGTCATAAGCTGGCATTGGTGTCAGAACAGAGTCTTCCTCTTCGTCTTGGTCCATTGCAGTCACTAGTCCAAAATCTCCAACTTTCACTATGTCATCCATTGTAAAAAATATGTTGGAAGGCTAGAAATGTCAATCAAATAAACAGAAAGAGGAATATGAGAAACAGATTAAGCACACTGCTCACATCTAGGTCTACTGCGCATCATAAGTCACATAATTTTATCATTATACTTTCCTCAGTGGATACTTTACAGCATTTGAGGAAGTTATTGCTGTTTCTCTTTCCCAAAATACATAATAAAACAGTCAGAATACTATAAGTCTTTGTGTAAGATTTGAGTAACTTGTGCTAACTGATGATGTGTCTGATCACTTCTCTAACTGTGCAAACAAGATATGCCCCAGCACTTTGCAGTCATGACAAGTTACAGAGCCCTCATCAACAGCATAAGGATTCTAGACATTGCAGGCAGCCATGAAAGCCAACTGGAAAAGTCAATAATGTTAGGAAAAGTTGAAGGCAGCAGGAAAAGAGAATATGAGATAGACTGAAGTGCCATAGCTCATGAGTTTTCATGAGATGAGCAGGGCTGTTTGAGGACAAGGTATTTTGGAGGTCACTCAATCACAGGGTTTCTAAACTGGAGGTGACCTGACAGCACATAACAACTGCAAGCCACTCATGGAGATTCTCTCATAATACGTTGCAAGATTGTATTTTCAAAATAAAACATAAAAAATTGGAGGTGACCTGACAGCACATAACAACAACTGCAAGCCACTCATGGAGATCCTCTCATAATACGTCACAAGATTGTATTTTCAAAATAAAACATAAATGGAAGCAATTTTCAAAGAATTAATTGTGCTGGTTCTTAGCATGTTGTTTAAAGCAGGAAAAAACATAAGGGAGAAAAAAGGCAAAGTACTGTGGCATTTCAAAGGTTAAAACATTTATTTCAGTGTATCCTTGTATGGATCTCTCTCCATATATAAAATACATGGAGTTTCCAAGTAAGCACATGCAAGGATGCTGAAAGTTTATTGTCAGTTTTTGTTTTCAATACAGACCTTGAGGTCCCGATGCATTAACCCTTTGCTATGCAGGAAATTAACAGCTTCAGCTATCTGTAGGAATATCAGAAGGCACTCTGTCCTTTCCCTCTCCTCCATAGTACATCTTCTGTTCATCCAGTCTTTGAGGTTTTCCTTCCTACAGAGTTGCATCTGGATGTAAAGGTATACTTTTGGAGTGGTAGGTATGGCTTTTTGTACAGAGTTTTTAGAGAGGTCCAAACTTAAGGTTGTTGGCCTTGGAGGAGAAACAGACAAAGGGCTTGTGGAAGATGACATCTTATTATTAGATCCTTTTGTGCTTGTCGCTTTATCCTCAGAAGGGCTATCATCAAGTGAATCAACAGTGTTATCCTTTTTACTAGATGTATTATCACAGCCAGAGTCTTCAAAGACAATTGATGAAGAGGTCCTCTCCCTCACTCTTACATTTGGCATTGCTGGAAGACAAAATTCAGAGGGATGTCCAGGATCGTTTTCACTCACAGTGCTACCATTTATACCCATATCACAGTCAGAGAGAAAGCTGTCTTTCATGCTTGACACTGGATCTGCCAACTGGATCAAGTTTCTGTTATCAATGGAAGAGAATTCCAGTGCAGAAAACTGGCTCTCAGATGAATTCGACTGGCCACAAGGTATCCCAACAGAAAACAAGATCTTCCTTTCTACAGGCGTATCAATAACTTCAATGTGCTCCTTTGCAGAGAACGGCTCAGTTCTAATTTTAAACGATGGCACCTCCATTGGACTAGGAGAACTGAGTGGCCAATCAATACTTTAAAGGAAGAAACAGAACATATTACAAAACTTTAGTTTATCTTAAAACAGTCAAAAATGTAGAAAATTGATAAACAACTTTTGCAAGAAAAAGCACATGTTTGACAAACATAAGGAATTTTTCTTCTTTATCTACTAGAATTATCTTTCTCTATAATTATTTTTCATCCAAGCGTCTATGCCCTCTCATACCTCTGAATATGCCTCTGAACACTTTAGAAGGAGTGTTTAAAGCCTTCCTATGAGATGACATTTGTAAACCCAAATTTTTCCAAAACCTTACTTTATGACTGGGTAAGGTAGAACACTAGATCCTGTTCCCCATCCCCATTTCTCATCTCTCTCTTTTTACAGGCCTTCAGATGGGTAACTTCACTTAAAAAACAACAACACCATAATCAATACAGCAAAATGTAACATGCTTTAAGCATAAAGAAATTTTAGATGCTGCAAATTCTATATTTGATTCATTGTAAGTAACTCGGTTCGTTTCCATCATTTGGAAAAAACTACAATATTTCATATTCACTTTCTTCCCCAAATCATGAAGGATTATTGGAAACAAAGGCAGGTCACTTACCTATGATATACAATGAGACCTGTGTCTCCATAGGGCAATACATATGAAAGTGCTACAAAAGATGAGATACAATGCATACTCTCCTTTTGGAGAAAATTCACTGCATAATGCTCATGTATTGAGAGGTGAATAAATGCTTTCCCACTAGGTTCTCAGTATTAGCTAAGAATTGGATAAGACCATGACCACCAGCAACCATTTTCTAGCGTTTAAATTGTTCCCTATCCACTTCTGCAGCTCCTGAAGGCATCTCTGGGATCCCTGGAACCTAGGAGAGGGGGAAACCCCCCTCCAGTTGAAGAATCTGCTATTATTTCCCTCTCTTCATGATTGCTCCTTGATTTGGTTTTATGTTGTTCAGATTTATAGAGTCGGTCTTTCAACCTGTACAGAATGTCTTCTTCACCTTCTCCAGCCCACTTCTTTTGGTCACTACTGACACTTATCTTTGATTCTGAGGAGTACAGTGCCATTGCCTTACAATCATATGGTCTCTGTCTGCAAGGAGGATCCACATCAATTATCAGGAACTGCTCAAATATTCTCTCACCTTGATGGCTGGGTTATTTAAATTGCAGCAGACAATATGACTCCAATGTTTTGTGTGAATAGGCAAGATCTTGTGAGGTTTATCTTCTACCTTTCATTTGTTAGGATTTTTGTATACTTTCCTGTATCCACTTGGCACTGACAAGGAACATGCTCATGGATTCCTTTACTTCACTCCTCACATCTGTGTATGAGTGGAGTACCACAAACAATGGCTGAGATTCTGTTGTGCAACTTAAGACAGCGCAACTTGGATGGCTCTGTCATCCGTGGCTGTGCTGCAGCCCCTTGGGGGAATATTTAAAATTCCTGGTTTACATGGATACTGGCAAGTTAGAGCACTAAAGTGGCATCCACCTTGACCATACGCCCCAAGAAACCAAAAAGAAGCAACGAGACCTCCAGAACATGATAAAGCATCTCTTGGGAGAGAAGCACAAGTTGATTTTTGCATTTTTTTGCCTCAGGTTTACTAAACACTTGTGACTGCACTTTTAGCTTCTCTGTAGAAGTAAGCTTTACAAAGTTATTGTAACAGGAGTATCTGCTAACAAGCAAACAATTCCAGTAAAGCCTTTGTTTCATACACTTAACACCAAATCCAGATGTTGGCATTCCTGATTGTTTGGACTTAGAAACCTCAGTTGCTTGCTACACACAAAGAAGTGTGTACTGTCTCTTACTCTCTTTTAGCAACTCAATAAACCAATATAATTACATTCCACCTTTCTTTTACCGTGGAATTCCAAGTACCATTCATGGATTCTCATGTTCTCTGGTATAAACACTGAGCAGATTGACACTTGCTAAGTTTCAGAAAAGTGTCTGCATCACATACCCAGGACCATGCCTATAGTTCTTAAACAGACATTGCTTTGCACAGATGGAGATCCCGTGTTTGTTTGTGTGTTTGTGTGTGCACGCAGAAATAAAAAAGACAGTGATGTTTGGAACCAAAGCAAGGTGTGAGATTAGAGGGAGACTGCCCAATATAAAAAAACGCATTATACATTTATAATATAGTGTAAAATATGTTTCATATTTTAACAGCCACTACAAAATAATCCATGTAGACGAATTATTTTAAACAAATGCTCTTAATCTAAGTACACCACTAATGCACACACTAGATATCAGAGTGCTAAATTCAATTTTGCAGCTTCTTAGGTCTTCTGGAATAGAACACAATACTTCTGGAGCCTTCTAGTAAATATATTCCCCCCACAAACTGAAAAGAGATACCTTTCATCTTTTAGCCACAGTTTGTCCATCCTCTCCTGCCAGCTTTCAGGTGGTGCTTCCAGCCAAGCATTGAAATACCGAACAATACAAGGATGTTCAAGTTTTGCTAATGCTTTAACTTCACGCATCACCTTTTCACGAGCTTGTTCCCTAGAGATTAAGAAATTAACACAGAAAAATCTCTATTTTAGATTCTTTGTTCAGGTGGGGGGGGGCCTGCAAGAACACTTTCTAATCAATAGTAAAGTACAACAACCTAGGAAGCTGAAAGCTACTCATTTTTACTTCTTATTTTGAAAAAATGATATTTTGGTCTCACACTTCAAACAGTGAAGTGTGGGACTTCAACTATTCAAAAGAACAACCATTCCTGGGGGTGTCCAGGAAGTACAGACAGACAGACAGACACAGAGAGAGAGAGAGAGAGAGAGAGAGAGAGAGAGAGAGAGGGAGGGAGGGAGAGAGAGAGAGAGGAGGCCATTGAGGACCACAGAAACAGTCTTAGGAGGGCAGAAGTCATAAACCTCTGTAGATAATGTAGGTAATTTTCAGAAGCAAAACCTATTATAGTCTTTTAAATGGAAGTGGTCTTTGCTCTATGCAGCACAATCACATTCAGCATAAATATTGGATTCTACTGCAACAATAGGTCCCAAAGGTAGTTCATACAAATTGGCAAAAATGAAAGCACCAAAAGACAAAGACCCTACAATTTTAAGGGCCTGAAAATCAAAATACTATTTGTAATCATGAACATTCTCTCTCCCACTATTTCACACACATTTTTTGAATTTCCCCTGAAAGCCATTATGGGCTGCCAC